CATTAGCCCCACGGCTGGGCCTGGCAAGCAGCCACAGCTCCATCCAACCAGCAGGCTCCCGGACCCCGACGGGCTTTGTTGCTCTGGCATGTGTGGAGGAGCACAGGGGGGCCCAGGGCAGGGCCCCCATCTTTGGCCTGGCCTTGTCCTTTACACGCTTCCTTCTGGGGTATGTGTCTTAGAAAAATCCGATCTGTCTGCAAGTACCTGGACAAGCGGTTCTCTACAAGTTAAATGGAAAGGTGGCTTCCCAGGCCCAGGGAAGGTTTTTTAATTATTATTAATTAATTAATTATTTTTGGCTGAGTTGGGTCTTTGTTGCTGGGCTCGGGCTTTCTCTAGTTGTGGCGAGTGGGGGCTACTCTTCATTGCGGTGCGCGGGCTTCTCATTGCGGTGGCTTCTCTTGTTGCAGAGCACGGGCTCTAGGCGTGCGGGCTTCAGTAGTTGTGGCTCGCGGGCTCTAGAGCACGGGCTCAGTAGTTGTGGCGCACGGGCTTAGCTGCTCCACGGCATGTGGGATCTTCCCGGACCAGGGCTCGAACCCGTGTCCCCTGCATTGGCAGGCGGATTCTTAGCCACTGTGCCACCCAGAAAGGTATTTTACAAAATTCCTACCAGGTCCTCGCTGCTACCCACGGAGCTAGGCTCAGAACACCAGAGGGCACTTAAGAGCTGCAGGCTGAATTGGAAACACCAGGACTGGAAAAATCTGGAATGATCATGTCTTGGTGGCACCATCTCTGGAACTCCAGCCTGCAGCTGGCTTGTTTCCTGCCAGCTCATGAATAGATACCATTTTGTATATTTTCCAAACAGCATCATAAGCACGTTTCATGTTTTCACCCAGTTAAAAATTTAAATTACATTATGTATATTAAATATATACATTGTTTAAAATGCCAGTAGCTCTTCAAGCCTTACCATGAGAAAGGAGAGTCCCCTGTACCCCTCTTTACCCCTAATTTTCATTCCCTAGAGTCAGGCTTTTGGCGGGGGTGAGCTTACCTCCATAGCTCTTGTCACATTAGGGAAACAGATCACTCAGGACCTCCTTATTCCTGTGGTGCCCTGTGTGCACCCATGGCCAGTCTAGCTGGCCTGCCCTACCCCTGTCCCCGCAGTATCTTACCCTATTGACCTCCTTGGAGGTTTTTTCCCCTAGGAGTCTTGACTAGGGTCAAAGGTCTCCCGGGGGATTTTAGGGGTCTCTTCCAGCTGGGCCCCGTTGGGTTGGCTGCAGGTGACATCCACCCTGCGTATGCCCCGTATCTGCAGACCATTTCAGAGACCTCTCAGAGGGAGCTGGGCCTCTGGGGACCGGACCATCCAAGTGCCCTGGCTGCGCCTGTCAGGGTCTCGTGGCCCAAGCAGGAAAGGGATGGGTGAGGTAAGCAGAAGCTGGAGGCACCAAGGTGGGGTGCCCTGGGAGGAGGAACAGAAAGAGAGAGGCAGAGAGGGCAGCCGGCTGGCGAGGGCAGGAGCAGAGAGTCCAGGAGCCCGAGGCCCCTGGAGCTGAGCAATGTAAACCCCTTTTACAGATGGGGAAACTGAGGTGCAGAGAGAAAGAGGGCCTCGCAGGCCACACAGTGAGTTAGTGGCCTCTATAGTGCTCTCTCTACTGACCACGCCAAGCAGTCAGTTTCTCTCTCTCTTACACACACACACCAGTTCGCCTGGCACATCCACCCTTCTGATATATTGGCAGAGACTTCCCAACACAGGTTCTGCCGCTGTGTCCTCAAAACTAGGGAACACTCGCGGGCCTGTGTGTGCTGGGAACGTGGGAATCCTCAGAATCCCAGAGAGTTAGAGTCTGCATCTCAGGGAGGGGTAACCGGCCCAGAGCCAGGCGGCAGGGCCTCGGCAAGTCACACAGCCAGGATTGTCCCCACCAGGCCCATCTCCGTATTTCCACTGCTCCGAGGAATAGTTAGAGAAAGTCAAATGCATAATTTAATTGCTGTCGCTGACAGAATGCCAGGGGAACCATAAAACCCGCCCAGTCTCAGAGTGCCTGCCCGGGCAGGTGGCACAGGGAAGCTGAGCTGGCAGCCTCGCCCCTGCCCGCTGGCTGGGCCTCTGTGCGGCTGGGAGCTGGACCCCCCTGTGCCTGCTGACAGCCAAGCAGCTCCCCACAGGCCAAGCAGGGTGCCTGGTGCCAGAGCAAACTAGGTCCGGGCCCAGCACACTTTCCAGAAATAGGTTTCTGGGAGAGCCCAAGGCTCACCCCTTCCCCTGCTGGCCTTCCCCCCCTGCAGCGAGTCCTATTTGTTGCCTCACACCCTGGAAATGTGTTCACAGCTCCTAAATGCCTCAGGAATGCTCACTGGGTGGGGCTGGGGTTCTGACTGACACCTCACCCATGGCCATCCTGCCCCCCACCTTCCTGCTGGGCCCCAGGGTGGGGTGGTGCCCTCCTGTGTGTGGAGGGGACAGCTGAGGCTCAAACAGGGAAGTTCTCCAGGCCAGCCCTCCTCCAGACCCAGCGCCTGTTCTGCTCTTGGGTCTTCGCTGCGATGGCAGGCACCCCATTCATGCTGCCCTGCCACCCACCCATCAGGATCAGCACGGGGTCACCAAGGGGCTCATGGGCAGCCATGGTGCCTCCAGGTGGATGAAGGGATGGTTGGGGAT